AACTCCCAGAATTCCCCAGCCACTCATCTTAAAGTGGCCAAGTTTGGACAACACTGTTCTAACTGGTCAGATGGTAACTTACACAAAGATAAAACTTTGCCTATATTTATTAGCAGTGGTTCTCCAGGGTTTCATGTTGGAGATGGTAGAGTCCTTGTTCATGAAAAATGTGTGACATTTTTTCCTTGGGTATAAGTATGCTCATCTGTAAAACAGCATGCTATCCTTCTCACTCAAGCGATAGTATAGCCCTTGCAGTAGCTCATTGCCAGCCGTCTATAAAATGCAGATATTTCCTTCACTAATTGCAATTCCAGATGATTTATTTTCAGGCCCCCTTCTGAAACAGGTGGACTATCTCTTCCTTGAGAGTGATAATATTTACTGGTGAATAACATTAAGGCAGAAAAATGCTATCAAAACATAACATCTCATATTGACATTTTATTTCAAGGTGAGAGTGGGGTGGACTCTGATAGTGATGAGGAGACCAATGGTGGTGAAGAAAAGACAATAGTTGAACCAGTCAGTCAGTAAGTAATTGCCATGAATTGATTATATTCTTAGAGATTTTGTTTTAAGTGTCTTGTATTAAAAATCCAGTTGGAAATACTTATGAAATATCAGCAAAATTTCAGCTAAAGCTTTGTCAAAACATTGGATGAACTGGAAAAATGCTGGCGAAAATTTATGAAATTTGCTGCAGTATGAAAAATGAACTTTGGGAGGTAAGCTGTTCTGCCAAATTATGGGAGGTAAGCAGGGACCATGACAAGGAAAGCATGCTTTCTGGGTCCATCAGAAAGCATGCTTTCTGGGTCCATTTATGAAATTTGCTGCAGTATGAAAAATGAACCAGTGTTGTGGATATTGGAAAAATCAGAGAAATGAAAGCCTGCAAAGTTCCAGTTAAAGTGTCAGTGAGCTCTGATGAGTCTGCAATTAAACATAACTAAAGCATGACAAAATGTTGTGAATTCCAGATGAAAATGCCCTAAAAATACAAGACTGCATATCAGCAAGATCATAATGATGGCTAATGCTATAATGGTTTCCTGTTATTTTCTAAAATGTGATAAAATAATAAAAGTTTGAGAGCATTTGCTGTGATTCAGTTAAAATAAATACTTTTAAAAATATTGGTCTTGCATGTGTTTATAATGCAAACCTACCCACTAAAAAAACTTCACAATATTTTTATTTTTATGATATTCCGGACATGTTTAGTACTTCTGAATTGAGCTTTAAGCAGATACTGTAAAATCAAGAAGTAAAATTGCCTGTCTACTAGATTCAAATATTGGAATTCAGATATTCCTCATGTATTTTAATCAGCTGCCCAGAGTTGTTGGGAGTCGGGCTGCATTCAAATATGATAAATAAATAGATCACCTCTTCATGTATGCTATATGCTCTGCCTTTAAAAATAACTTTTTTATGATTGCATACATGTACGATGAACTTACTCATTTCAGAGTAAATCCTAGTGTTTAATATGGTTTCTCTGAATGTATGTAGAATTGCAGCCTTCAACTGGGAATCTTACTGCATTCATAGTAGGGAATGGCATCATAAGTATTGAACTTGATCAGAATTGTAATCTGTTTAGGTACACCTGGGAGCCTGAAGGATACACATTTCCAACAGTATCCCTTGTAAAGAGGTTTTGTTACTTCTCAGATAATAATCATTCTGAGTTATCTGAGGTTCTTGCTAAATACATCTTTTGTAGGTCTGATTTCTCTTCCTGCCCCTCCAGTCTAGTGTGAGCCTATGGTTTGCTTGTTTAGCAGAAGTTATAAAACTCCAGAAGATACATAGATATGCTAATAGGACAATTATACAGCTACTGTAAAATTATAGCATGAAAGGAAGAAAAATCAACCCAATCTAAGGCATTTTACCCTCACTGGCATTTCCATAAGTTTCTTGGTTGGTTTGTTTTTTTTAAGTGGCCAGGCACCATTTAAGAAGTTATTTCGTTGTAAATGGGTATTGGGGATAACATTATTTTTAGAATATAATAAAGGTGGTGAGAAAGCAACATTTTCCCAGAAGTAAATACTTGGACTCACAAATCTCTGTCAGCAGTTAGAAATGAATACAGGTAGTCTCTGGGTTAAGAATGCTGGGGTTACAGATGACCCATAGTTAAGAACAGACCATATGGTAGCAAAATTTGAGTTAAATACACCATAGTTTTACTTCATTACATGATACTACTTATACAGTATTATACAATAATACTGTTCAGGCTTACATACAAATTTGCCTTAAGAACAGACCTTGGGTACGGAACTTGTTCTTAAACTGGTGACTACCTGTAGAGTGATATGACCTTAAAACCTTGAACAGTATACATTTATGTAAAAAGGCATGCTGTAATGACATCAGCTGGCTTAGTTTGGTTAAAATTAAAACTACGTGGGAAAAGTGGTCCCTAACATTTACACTATTTAGCCACAAGATGGCAGAAAATGCATGCATATTAAAAGATCAATTGCAGCCTTACATCAGAAATTCTGTATGTGACAGCACAAGAATTGCTCAGCGATAAAGTGTTTTGGACAGCAGATTGTCTTATTAGTATATGTACAGTACTGTTCTGCTGAAGTGGTTGATAGAAACCAGGTAGTACATTTTTTTTCCAGCTGATTTTGTATCAGACTATTCAGTTGTCAGAAAAATGACATAGCCAAATAGGTTGACTATAACCATTTCCATGACCTCTACTTAAAACAAGCTGCATAATTAGAATTAAAGAAGTTACTGTGTGGCTCCTGCCAAGTGAACAATTCTGAGTCCTGAATGAAATTTGGCAGCAAGGTTCAAGGCAGAAGGAGTTTTATTATTCTAGAAAATATACCCATTGGTGTTTTCTCCCTCAGTAAAAGTAGATTTTGCTCAACCATCCTTTTAGTTTGCTGATGAGTACTTGATTATAGCATTACCATCTAATTCAAGAATTGAGGTCTTCTTCCTATGATCAGTTAGAAAAGAGGAATATAAATGCTGGGGGCGTAATTGCCAAATACCCTTTTCATGTTTGCCAGCATGAATGAGAAACCTATTTGTAGTCTGGTTGTAATATACTTTGAATAGTTGATATTTAACTTTGTATTGAAAGGATGCTGCAATTTTAAGGATGCTGCAATTTGAATTTAATTCTAATGATCTATTTGTATGTCAAGTTGTGAGATAATTGCAACACTGCATGTACCATTGATGTTTTGCTTAGTTAAAATAGGTAACAGGTAAAAGTCCTGTGAAATGTAAATGTTAGAGTGACATTATGGTATGATATTGTTCTTTTACAAACAAGGAATCCTGTGGCATCTTAAACATTAGCAGAATTATTATGATCTAAGATTAGGCTGTGATAAAATTGTTGAAGAGCCAGAAGGCTCTTTGCTGTTTTTGTTTAACTCTGACCTGCAGAGTCATTGAGTGTTTTGATTGTGTCTGTGTATTAACATAATATGTACTTTACAATTGTTAGACAAAATAATTCAGGTATGAAATTGCTTATATGAATATAAAATAATTTTATGACTAAAATGCTCATTAAGCTCAGCAACTGGACTAGCTTGCCTTGATTTCAAAATCCTGTGGAGAGCTGTATCCTGTTTTCTCAAGTGTATCTTATAATCTTTCTTTTCTGTTGCTGCTTTGTATAAAGACAATTAAACAACAGATAAGGTGCCTCCTTTTAGCAGTTTTCCCTCCTTGTACAGCAGAAATCTTCACATTAAGGTGAAACCATGTAAAAATCTCGAAGTTGGCATCTCATCAACTCTTCAGAAAATGTGTTTTAGTTATTTTTCTTTCAGTTCTGTATAAACTGTCAAATGTACAAGGCTATTCTAAAGATACGTCCTTGCAACAATTTTGAGCTAAGCTATTCAATGTTGCAGATTGTGTAATTGCCTTGCCTGAAAACATTTTTCACTTTTGAGAATAAAGGCTAAATTACTGTTAAAATGTTCTTCTTATCAACGGCGTGATGGTAGCAATGGTGTTAGCAGTTAAAAATGCAGCATTGAACAGTATTGAATTTGAATTTGATTCTTTATGCGGTAGTTCTCTGAGTATAGACCCTCATGTGAGTTTCACATTTGGTTTTCCTCTAACCCAGTGGGTTTCCTTTGAGGGAACTTAGTCTGATCCTAAAACTGCTTGCCGGGGAACTTTTTAATCCTATCTAATGTAAAAGAATTAACTCTCAGATTCTGCTTCTGAAGGCAGTAACACTAGACAGATTCACTGCTGGAGGCTTTGTGGGCAGAGCTCTGCCATTCATAAAGGTAATTGTTTTCAGATGTTTTGTAGGTTATTAGTCCTTCTGAGTTCTTCAGTCAGACTTCTTTAGGACTTAAAATGCTGAAGGCCATTCTCAAGAGATGGAGCTGGGAGAGCATTTTATTAAGAAGTCATAGATGGATTTTTTTCTAGAAAGGGTCATCGCCCATTCAAAGAATCAACGATGGGTGTAGCGCATTTCTTTGGGGTGAGATCATTGTTCAATATATCACATGCTATTTTATGCAGAAAATACTGTTTGAAACTATAGATTGTGAGTACTGTCTGCAAGAGGTGACAATCAGGCAATACTCTGAGGTGGTATAAATAAGCTTACTATTTATCCATCCATCCATCCATCCAATTTATATAGCCGCCCATTTCACAACAAATGACTCTGGGTGACATACAACAAAGCTAAAACAATTAATACCTAAAACAGTTATCATTACTATTATTAAAAACATTAAAAATTATAATAAACAAAGCTAAGCGAAAGAAATAGTAGGTGAAGGGATGTTAATAATAATGGAGCCACCTCACTATGTTCCTGGAGTCCTTAGGTTGTGCAGTTGCAAAAAAGGAAAGCTTCCTCTCCTTTAACAGTTCTCTAAAAGAAAGATTTTGAACAGAAGCCCCAATTCCTTCTTTTTCATACCTATTAAAAAGCAGGAACCTGTTTTCCTCTGCATCTTGCTATTTTAGTGATAACAGAATACAATTCATATAGTGCACTTTCAATGGCATGGGGTCCACTTCTTATGCACAAATAATGTCAAAATGTAATATGCCTTCAAAAACCTCTAAAGTAATTCTTTGGATTCATTATATCAAGTTTAACTTTACCCAATTTGGTTCCCTCCAGATATGTTGGGTCCATAAATTCCTAATTTTCAGGCTGGCTGGGAATTCTGAAAGCACTTGCTCTATCAGATCTAGAGGGAAAGGTAACAGGCTAGGGAAACTAATGTAATTTTTCTAAAAACTGTCAATAAATATGCTTCATTGTATTAAAATTCTTTACGATTATTTCATTACATAAATCAAGCAATAAAACAGAGTGCTAAGCAGGTATTGATATATTGAAGTGTTTATGTTATAATTATAAAAGGCAAACTAATTTAAATGTATTTTTGTTTGTTCTCAGGCAAGACAATAGCATAGATTCTACTTCTTCTCTGAAGGAAGAAAACAAATTGGAAGGGCTGGATTCAAAACAAGGTAGGGATTCTGAATACAGAAGTGGAGATAATGTGATAGATAATGCTACTGAAAATTGGGTGGGTGGGGGGCTTCACAGACATGTATATAGATACTTAGATTATGAAGAACCATTAGCTGTACACATTTATTTGGAAAAAGTATATTTCAGAATGATATAAGACTTTGAATCACTTGTTAGTTGTCAGGTAAGGAGAGGAACAGGCATACATGGGTTGCACATTCGTATCAGGTAAGTTCAGTATTCATAATGCCAATTCTTTAACTGTGACTTTGACTATGATTTTTTCTTCCTGGTAGAGTGTAATGGATTCAATAAATGAATTTCAGTAGCAACGTTGTCCTGCTCTTTATACAGTTGTCATTTCATATGAATAAATGGTTCTCATTCAGCCATACAGGAAAAGAAAAATGGTATTCTTAAACTCACAGTTGTGATGAGCATAAAATCCATCCTTTACTATGCCACAGATATAGGTTGGGCTTTATTCATTCCCCCAAATGTGTGGATTTCAACACCCAGAATTTTCATCAGTGGCCCTACTTCCTGTAGAATTTTTGGAATTAAAGGCTACCTATTGGAGGCCACCAGATTTGCAGAAGGATGACCTAGAGTTTGGAAAGTTGACAGGAATAATGTGCATTAGATATTGCTAGGGAAGAGAATAAGTTATTTTGTTGGTGACAACTGGTGCGAGTTCAGTGAGAAATTCCATCTATGGGTCTGTTTGAGTTTCAACATTTCCCTGTCTTTCTTGTGATGGTGATAGGCATGCGCAACACTCTATAGGATTAGATCAATCAAGATCTTATTAGGATACATATTTCTATTAATCATAGTTCTTTAGAAGTAAATGCCTCATTCTTCTGTACTAGCTAATAAGGAAATATTGACTTGAATAGAACAGAATTATGAGGCAACCAAGATTTAGTAAGATGCTGTGACTTTCCAGAGAATAGTTTAAATACTGCTTTTTGCACTCTCTGGTATGACCTTTGAATTGACATGTTTCCTGCAGATTTGTTCTCTTTCTTTTCTGCTATCAGGGGGAATTGATGACTTCTTGCAGGTGATTACTTCTTTGTCCTTTTTATGACTTTATCAGCCACCGTTTCATGATGGCTTTAGGCAATGACAACAGTGCTAGTCAGGATGTTAGGTTTTAAGGAGCTTTGGAGAATGTGCAAGCATAAAATGGTAAAACTTAGTAACTGTTCTTATTCTACACTGGAGCCTGTGATGCTGAAGATGAAAAATGCAAAAGCCAAGAGGTAAGCAAAAATAAGTAAAAAGTGGTTAAGAAAGAGAAATTAAGAACCTGGAAATAAATTTCACAATTGTAGTTGAGAATATAAATACAGGTTCTCATTTTGATAAAATGAGAAAGATAATGAGAAAAATGCCACCAGAGACTTTTATTACTATGTAAAATTACAGCTGTAAAAAAGGAGAATAAAGCAGTTCAGCTAATTAAACATTTCTTAGGTCAGTACAACTGTGTCATTATTGTGCAGCATACATCTATGGAGATTTCCAGCACTGAAGAAAAAACCCAGGCTGATAATGCTTTCTTAAGGTTCAGGTAGCTTTTCATTCTTGAGGAAAAGGATAAATGATTTCTCTAAAAAATACTTTTGCCTCATTCCCTCAGGTCAGTTCTTCTTTCACTTGGAACAGTTGGCCGTTGACAAAAAGAGATGAGTATGCTGAAACATAACTTCTGATCTTTGAACTAGGCTTATTCAGTAGGGAATGTGATCTCTCACTGAAGAGCTTCTGTTTAGTTGAACAATGTATTAGGTAAATATGGACTACTACCCTGAAGCAAGACAAAAGAATTTCCATTCCTTAATCCTATTGATTCCCATTTCATTTGGTCTTTCACACTTCTCATTTATTTCTTGCAGTATGGTGTTTGGTTGCTTTTTTTAGGTATTAGAAAATTAAATATTACATCTTGTAGGTTCAAGTTGAATATTTGATGATAATTTTGACTGTTCCTCAGAAGGCAATATTGATGGATATATTTTGCAGAAGTTTCAAATTACTGACTTTGAACGATAGTTTTATAACTGTAGTAGATATAATTCACCCCCATACCCTGCTTGTCCTGCTGTGCTGCCCCATCATGGCAATTCATGAGAAGGATGAGCAAAGAATGTTGGGAGTATTTATCAAGAGTATATAATCCTAAGAGGGTCACCCAAAGCGTGAAGGTCATCCCAGCTGCCCAGCTAAAACAAGCAGGCAGCTATATTGGACAGCAGCAGTATAGGAAGATACTGAAGATCCCTGTAGTGACAGTGGCAAAAGCATAATTTCATATTGTGCAGGAGAAGGCAATGGTAAACCACTCCTGTATTTTACCAAAACTCCCCCCCACACACACGCACGATGGACAAGATAAAGTGATTGATGTTATAGCGCCAGATGATGAGCCCCTCAGGTTGGATGGCACTGAACATGCTATTGAGGAAGAGCTGAGAGTCCTTCAGAGTACTAATGGTGTTTATGATGTGGCTAGATTAAAGCCTTCAGGATGTCTAGTTGCTGATGTTGCCATGCAGGAAAAGAAAATCCAAAGCTGCAAAAAGGGGATTACAGTGGGAATATGGAACGTAAGAAACATGAACATGGGAAAGCCCAACACAGTGAAAGGCAAAATAAAATTACTACAAATTTACATCTTAGGCATCAGCGAATTGAGAAAGATTGGGATTGGACACTTTGAGTCAGAAGATCACGCTATTTACTACTCAGGACATGAGAAAGGAAAACCATTGCTTTCATAGTTAGGAGAGGTATAGCTTGGCTACAGTGCAATCAGTGACCAAATACTATCAATTAGACTTCATGGACAACCGTTTAATATGGCGATTTTCAAGTTTATGCTCTAACCACTGATGTAAAAGAGAAGGAGGTTGATGAATTTTATGATCAAGTTCAATTTCAAATCACCCTAACATGCTAACAAGATGTGCTGCCTGTGAATGGAGACTGGAATGTCAAAGTTGGAAATAATTAAGGAAGAAAATATAGGACTGTATGGCCTAGGAAACCAGAATTAAGCAGGAGAACGACTTATTAATTTCTGCCAATCCAATGATTTATTCATTGCTAATACGGTCTCCAAACAAACAAAACAATGCCATCAGATGGAATATGCAGAAATCAAATCGATTATATAATTGGTAGAAGGAGGTGGAAGAGCTCAGTTATAACAGCAAAATCATGACTGAGGGCCAACAGCGGAACAGATCACAAATTGTTAATGTGCAAGTTCCAAGTTAAGCTAAAGTGGAAGAAGAAAGCTTACCAGGTTTCCATGATATAATCTTGAGCATATACCCACCATTTTCAAGGAGAACATCAGGAATCGCTTTGAAGTCCTGAACCTCATTGATTAGGAATCAGAAGAACTGGATGTGAGGGCAGTCTGGCTGCGACATCTGTCACCCCATTGATTGCCAGGGTTTATTTGGCAGATCTGGCTGGCTAGCCGGGTGTCTCCTTCCTCCCTCATCACTCCATGTGCATCCCTCCAGAAGCTGTGCACTCAGTGGAAGGGGACGACCATCCCAGATAGAAGGAGTGCACCGATCTTCAGTCAAGGGTATATGGTAGCTCTGCTTCCCTGCTTGAACTTCCAAACAAGCTCAGGGTCTTCCAACTGTGGACTGAACTTAAAGTGTTAAGAATGAATGTGAAAAGAGACTGCAGAAGATCAAGAAACAGAAGAAAACAAATTGGTTCTCAGAACAAACTGTGGAGGTTGCCAAGAAGAGAAGAGAAGCTAAAGCCAAGAAAGATAAAGTTTCTCAGGAAGAAACTTAAAGAATTTCAGACAGCTGTTAGAAGAGACAAGACACAGTATTACAATATTTGTAAAGACATTGAAGATGGAAATGGAGATAGAAGAGCAAGGAAAGTCTTCCAAAAGATCTCTGAACTCAGAAGGAGATTCCAGCCTCGAATTGGTATGCTAAAAGATGCCAGTGGACAGATTCAAAGAAGATCGAACAAAGATGGAAGAAGTCTATTGAAATTCTGTACAGTAGAGTTGTCAACATCCAAGATACCTTAGAAGATAAGATACTTACAAGAACTTCTAATGCTAGAAGATCAAGTTAGTTGAACACTCTGAACATTACCAAGTCAGAAGGTTATAGGAATTGATGGAATATCTACAGAAATATGGTAAACAACAGAATAAGAATCAGTATAGGTTGTCAGGATTTTCTTATGGGAAAGAAGTTCATCTCGTTATCTGTACAACAATATTATGGCTATATGAGTCATGTGATAAAGTTGTTATTGTTAAGTGTAACTTGTGACTGTGTGTTATGCACAGTAAAAAAAAAAGAGAGACTAAGATTAAATATAAAAAAGACCAAACTAATGACAACAGGTAGAGCAACCAGTCTTAGAATTGACAATGAAGATACTGAAGTGGTGGATAACTTATGCCTTTTAGAGCAGATATCAATACGAAAAGAACCAACAGTTAAGAAATATGCCACAGACTAGTAGAGTAGCAGTGAAGGCCTTGAAAAAGATATTAATATGCTGGGGTATGTATACCTACAAGGATCAGAATCATGCAAGCAGTGGTTTTACATGTAATACTGTATTGAGATGAAAGCTAGACTTTGAAGGAGCAGGATAGAAAGGATTGATGGTTTTGAACTTTGGTGTTGGAGAATACCGTAGATAGCCAAGAAAATAAACAAATGGATCATCAAACAAATCAACCCAGAGTTATCACTCAAGGCACAAATGACCAGGCTCAAACTTTGGACATATTATCTGAAACCCTAGTTCTCTGGAAAAGTCTATAATGCTGGGAAAGGTGAAAGGAAAGAAAAGAAGATAATATCCAGCAGTAAGGCATATGGACAACGAGTTCATCTTTGGAAGACTTGAAGGGGCCAGATTGGGAAGAGATCACCCTGGAGAAAATCTATCTGTGTGGCTGCTAAGGGATGATAACTACTTGATG